TGAAGACGTAGGTTTTGGAGGACAAGCTTCTGAAGATGACCATGTTTCTGGTGGAAATCATGTCTCTGAAGGTGGACCTTCTGAAGGAGGGGCTTCTAAAGGTAATCCAGCCTTTGACGGTGATCATGATTCTAAAAGTGGAACTTCTGAAGGTAGAGCTTCTAAAGGTGATCCGACTTTTGAAGATGGTATTTCAAAAGGTAGTGGTTCTGAACGAGGTCCAAAAGCTAATAAAGGTGGAGCTTCTGGTGGTAGTCAAACTTCTAAAGAAAGTCCAGAAGGAGATATTGTTCCAGAATTAGAAAGAGATTCTGAACAAGTTCAGAGGCCATATAGAGTCAGAAATATACCAAGGATATTTGTAGAGTTTGACAAGCTGCAGGATACTGAAGGGACTCTGAGGTATGGAGTGTTATTCCCTTCTAGTGTTAGATCAAATGCAGAGCTGATATACTATCTAGACTCTGATTGGTATGAAGACGGAGTTGACAGAAGAAATACTTTTGAATATTTTTATTTGTATATGGAAAGTCCTATTTCTTGGTGCTCTAAGAAACAACTGGTGGTTGCGTTGTCAACCTGTGCAGCTCTCAAGAAGAAAGTGTGGGTGAAGGCCATGAAAGAAGAGCTTGATGCTATTGAAAGAAACAAGACTTGGAAGATGACTGAGCTTCCGAAGGAGAAGAAAAACATCAGTAGTATATGTGTTTTCAAGGAGAAATCTGTATTTCTAAATGGAGTATTAGAAGTTGCACACTGTAACAATCAGAAGCAACTTGCAGATGTTCTGACGAAGGATGTCAAGACTAAACACTTTATCCGTTTGAGGGATGAAATTGATATTTCCAGTTTTGTGTAAATATAAATTAAGGGATGATGTTAGAAATAATTTATATTTTAGGAATGTCTTGTTGACTAAGTCTGTTAGAGGGTATTTTAGTATTTTTATTATACCCTAATATTATGTATAAATAGCCTAGTAGTAGGTAGGTCAATGTATCTATTACTCCTTATTTGTAGTCGTTGTTTAATATATTACTTTTGTCTCTCCTTTGTGCACCAACAATTGTTAGAGTAATAACGCAAGTGTGAGTAAGTGGGGAAATAGTTCCATATTGGATAGGAATATGGGACTTTAGTATATATAAATGGAAGAACCCACTCACCTATCACCTTAAGGTTTTAGGTGGATAAGTGGCGTGTCTATCATAAAAGTACATATTCCTACACTATGTATCGACGTTCCTAGTAACTCCCCCAACAAATAGTATCAGAGCCTTTGGTTCGAGAAAGGAATCGGCTTACTTGTATTGAAATACCCAAGAAGATGTGTTCCATTGCAAGGTGTCAACGTTGATACACGTGTCTTGAGGAGGGGCATTATGGACTCACACTTGAGGGGGAGTGTTAGAATAATAATGCAAGTGTGAGTAAGTGGGAAAATAGTCTCACATTGGATAGGAGTGTGGGACTTTAGCATATATAAGTGGGAGAACCCATTCACCTATCACCTTAAGGTTTTAGGTGGATAAGTGGTGTGTCTCTCACAAAGGTGCATATTTCTACACTATGTATCGATGCTCCTAGTAACTCCCCCCAACAAAAATGGTGATCTTCCTCTTTCCCTTCAAATTGTTCTTCTTAATGCATCCCTTCCAATTCACTTCCAATTCCCAAACATCTAATCATTTATTTAATTGAGTTTTCCATATAATTTGATTTATGTTGATTTCTGATTTCGAATGATTTTAGGTATATAAAAAGCTCCAATTTCTTCTTCCAAAACACACTTTTTCCATTTACTTCTATTGTTACTATAAATGTCCTTCATCTAATCTCTGTCAGGTATTTTTCATGGCCGCCGGAAGACATGACTGTGATAACGACATCACTCCTACAAACGAACGTCACCAACACCGACCACCACGTGAACTCCATAATCGAATTTCCCCCTCCATTCGCGTGCACCTGCCGCATCCATCAACTTTGAAGTATATTTTATCGCAAATGGCCAGCGATTCCACTTCAATGCAAAGCTGCAGATCCGACGGTACACCCTTCTTTTTGCTCGATCTCTGATTTCTAACTGTGTTTGTTGGAGTTAGAGTTGAAAATTGAGATGGAGGTGATCATTGAGTGATAATCTTTCCATCTATATGATTCTAGCTGTATAATTTTCTAAATTATGCATCTAATATTTGTCAGAACTCTACCTATAAATTTGTGTTTGTTTTCTATTAAAACATAATTGTGAGGTATATATATATATATATATATATATATATATATATATATATATATATATATATATATATATATATATATATATATATATATATATATATATATATATATATATATATATATATATATATATACCTCACAATATAGTATATTAAAAGTTAATATTACAAAATGAGAGTGATTGATTATGTTTGAAATAATAAAAATAAATAGATTATACCAAACTAATAAATATTATTAAAAAAATTATTATCATCTAATAATAAATTCACATAACATGTCATACTAATAAAAAGTAAATAAGTATCAAAATATATTTATGCGGTTCGGTTTGGTTTGGATCGGTTTTGAAAAATTCATCCGAAATCCAATCTGAACCGATCGGTTTTCATAAAATAACATCCAAACACAATCAATAACTTTCAGTTTTTTATGATTTTCAGTTTTTTGGATCGGTTTTCGATTTTTTATTTGGATTGGTTTGGATTTGAACACCCCTATATATATATATATATATATATATATATATATATATATATATATATATATATATATATATATATATATATATATATATATATATATATATATATATATATATAAAAGTACTATTGCAAATTTTATTAAAAATGTTCTTTATAATTACAAATATTTTGTTGTCTTTCATACTTTTTTAGTATTTAAATATATGTATTACTAATCACATTAAATTTAATATCAATTTTAAATTTACTACAATAAATTTATGTATTGCACATTAGAACAATTAATTTGATATCAATTTTAATTTACTATTAATCACATTAAATTTATATATTTGACATTAATACCAATTTAAATGGTTATTTTAAAATTGTTTAATTGAATCTAAAATTAATACAATTAATTTTACATAATCAGACAAATTTAAACACATTTTATAATCAGACAAATTGCTTAAATATCTTTTCGACTTTCTATAAATTTGTTTCAACCTATAGAATTTCTTAGTTGATATTTTTATATTTAAAGACTGTGATTTTTTTGGTAACTTACAAAAATATTAACAAATTTTATTCTTTTTAAATTAACATCATAATTTAGAAATAAAAAAATTATTTTATAGTAAAATAAATTAAATTTCAAATAATAAAGATATTTTTATAAACAAAAAATAATTTACTATTAATAATTTTTTTTCTGTGTGCTACTAATATCAAAGATATATTATAATCTTAATATTACTATAACTTTATTTGTAAATTATAAATAATTCTAAAAAAAAATTATTTAATTTTTTTTTTAATCCGTACCTCACACAAATATAAAAACTAATATTTTTAAAACTAAAATAAACTGATCATATAAATCATCAATTAGTTTTTACAAAACAATGTCTAAGTTACCTTTTAACAAATGAGCTTATAATTGATAAAAGTTAGTATATTATATTTATAGCGTTTAATAAAATCAGTGATTGACCAAACTTATACTATTTGTTAAATGTCATACAAACTATTTAATTAATATTTACTTATTTTAATTTATATAACAAGAATAAAATTAAGAGAAAGTAAAAAGGTTTATAAACTTTAAGTTACATATATCCTCCGAACACTATAGCAGTATCTAGAGGGTGTAGTACTTAAGTTAACTTACAAAAATAACTTATAAAATTAATAAAACTAAATTTTAAACTAGTAGAAAATTGATATTCTGAGACATATATTTAAAAGAAATATGAGTTTATAAACTATAACTTCAAGGAAAACACCTTTATTATTCTAATATTAAAATAAAAAAAACTTGTTACCTCACTTCTACAAATTAATAGTAATATTTTTTTCCTAGTTAAATCTTCAACCACAATAATAATCTTCCAACAACGACGTGTTGTTTTCCAATGCCAAAAGAATAGGTCTAGTTAATTTAAATTTAAATTAGAATTTGAACTTGGTTCCTTCTCTTCACGGATATATTGGGTTGACATAGTAATATCGGTAACTTTGGTTTGTTACATGCTACTCCTAATTTGTAGCCAAATTCAAAAATAGAAAGAAAAAAAGTTCATTTATTTTCAAAACGATCGAAACCTTTGGAGTACCTTCATTGTCAATTTTTAAATCATTTTTATAGCATTCTAAAAACTACACGTTACTTGAAAATATTTTTTGATCATATTTAGAATGAGAAAGAGAGAAGGTAGCAATCCTAATTTCATTATCACACCTCCCAAAAGACAAATCACAAATTGTAAATGGGAACTTAGAATTGGACCCCGGTGGTTCAATTTGAAATAGTACTATCATGTAAGTGCATGATTCTCATCAATAATAATAATCATATTCACCAATTTCATCATAAAAACAATCCTTTTGACCAAGGTATTCAATTGGGATCATAGAGGTGCTGTTCTCAACCTTGATAATGCAGAAAACAAAATAATTGAAAAGTCCAACATTAAACAAAATAATTGAAACAAATTGAAACACTCTAACATATGCAGAATAGCGATATAAATAAAAAAGTAAATGATTTTACTTAAGAAAAGGAAAAAAAATAATTGAATTGATAAACTAATAAAAATTGTCACCATGCTACAAGAACATGAAAAGAAACAAACTATACTCCTACGAAATAATGAATCTAAAAAAGCTTTAAGAAACCAAAAAATGAATACGCCAAGCAATTACCCATTTGTCTGTACATTGTCAATGCTTTCATGATATGGATAAAAAACAGCAAAAAGAAATGTTCAAAATCATGAAATTAAGTTCCTATTCATCATCAGGAGCAGGTAGATTAAGATCAATCAAGCAAGCATTAACTGCAGCCGGAGCCGGAGCCGGAGCGGGAACCGGAACCGGAGCAAGAGCTTGAGCTTGAGAAGCAGCAGCAGCACCTGGTCTAATGACAAGAGTGTCCTGAGTTGAAACTCCAGTTGCAAAATGTGATCTTTTGTGGCCTCCTAAAGCTTGTCCTGACTTGAAAGTCCTGGGGCAAAGTGGACAATCATGTTCTTTGCCTTTCTTTGACTTCATTTTCTTCTTCCCTTTGCAACTTGGCTTCTTGTTATTGTTACCACTCTTTGTTCCATTCATGTTGCTCTTGTTGTTGGTTTGTGTCTTTGGAGCAGTATATGAATCACTATCAGTGCTGTTTTCGTCACTCTCGTAAACCGAATCATCCGAGAAACTCTCTCTTTGAGTCTTCAAACTCGAATACATTTCATTATTACCATAACCATTGTTCTTATTGCTTTCTACTATCTTCTTACTTGACTCTAAATCATGATCTTGAAATCGATTCTTCAAACACCAATCGCTTGAAGCATCATCTGATTCTACCTTTTTAGGACCGTGTAGGAAATAACCAGAATCAGAGTTATCAGAATCATAACCCTCTCCATAATTCTTCATCTTCACACCATTGATCGTCACAAAGGTCTTGCCATGATTCATACCAACAACCTTAGTATCAACATCAGGCGAATTCGATTTCGATTTCAATTTCAATTTCAATTTCAGTTTCAATTTCGCTTCGGGTTCTACAACAACAGAGTTGTTATCAGAAGAGTCTGCCACCAAAGCAAACGGACCCTTGAAGGTATGATCTCTAGACAACATCATCAAAGTCCTAGCAACTTCTTCATGATCTTGATCAACTTCCGAAATCGAAGAAGAACAGTTTCCCCACGGAGGCGAAGACGAAGACGGCCTATTCTCATTACTAATAATCTTAAGCTTCATTCTCTTTGATTTCCGAGTATCAGTCGGAACCGAATCCTCAGTATCCGACTGACCATCTCTGACACCAGACACGTCTTCAATCCGAGATATTACTTTCTCTTTCTCCGAATGAGAAGCCATGTGACCACATAAAGCTTTCAACGACGGAAAGCCTTTTCCACATTCTTTGCAGAATCTTTCAATCTGAACAGTAGCAGAAGAAACAGCAGCAGCATTGGAATGCACAAACCTAGTTGTTTTCTTGGGATTCTCTCTAAGACCATAAATGTAGTTTCCATCATCACCACCAACACTACTAGACCCTAATTCAGATCTCTTTCTCTTTCTTCCATCATCAAACTTAAACACAGAAGCAGCAGCATTAGCATTCATTATTCTTCTCTCTTCATTCTCACTCATCATATGAGTCCTTATGTGACCACCAAGAGACTTACCGCAAAGAAACTTCCGAAAACAATACCTACACTCAAACCTCTTCTCCTCCATAGTAATTCCGAATCTAAATCAATCAAGAAACAACAATAAAAAAAACAAAATCACCCACCAAAACTCTTGCCTCGAAAAGTTTCTAGAAAAAACTAAGCAAGATCCTTGATCGTGATGAAGGTTAGGTTGTTATAGTTTTTAAAGATGATCAAGAGAGAATAAAAAGAAAGGGTTAAGATGTGACAGTTCGTGTGAAGTACAAAAGATTAGACCCACAAAAAAAGGCACAAAAGAAGAAGAAGAACCCTTCAAATTATTCAGTTTCCAAAGCAACGAATTGAATGGAAAAAATCAATAAAAATTGAAGATTTGGGTTTATTTATTTATACTCATATTGCAGTCTGTTTTTAAGGAGAATTCCATGCATGGAAAAGAGGATATGTTGTTACAAATTTTTAATTAAATAAAAATATATAGAAATAAAGGAGAAGATTAATTTGGACGGCTACGATTGAATATTTATTTTGAGGATCCCTATGATTTGTGAAACAAAAAACTGCCTTAAATTGTGTTTCTTTTATAAGGTTACACAACACAAGTGAAAGGTCAGTGTTATCTTGAAGCGTTATTGTTTTTTTGAGATTTAGCTCATTGTGATTCACTTGCATTGCAAATTTGCAACCTCTATTATTATTGTTGAAAAGACATTTATTTAATTCTATTTATTGCTTTTTATTTATTGTTATCTTATTCTGATTTTTATTATGATTTAATTTAATTCATATATAAATAGAAATATTTTACATTGCTTAGTTAGTTAGTAGCATTAGAGTTTGATTGATATGTATTATGACTCTATTACTCTTTTATTTTTTTATTTTTTTCATAACGTTTTTTATTTTATTTTTGTATGGTAGTTTTGATGGTGTTAGGATTTATTGGAGTTATGTATAGTTGAAAATCTCCGTGAGATAAAGATTAAGTAATTAGTGAATAAAAAATATTCACTCTCACCGTCTCAAAACAAACAAATATTATATTAAACACTTTCACGCAGATTTTAAAAATATAATAAATGAAAGAGAGAAAATATTAATTTGATTAAATTATCTAATTAATTATTAGTGTATTATAATTGTCGTTAATATAATATGAGAGAAATAATAAATAGAGAATATTGATTAGAGATAGAATTAAAAGATAAAATTTAAAGTTACATTAAAATTAAATATTATTTTAAGACAAATTATTTCTGAAGTGTGACACTTATTTTAAAAAAATGTATATTTTATGGTTTAATTAGAGTGTATTTGTTTCAAAACTATCACTAATATATTTAAAATAAAATTGTTCTCAAGTATTATTTTTTAATATTATATTTATATGCTAAATAATTTTTCTTTTTAAAATGCTCCTATGAATATTAAATAAAGTTTCAAAAAACTATTTACAAAAATAAAACTTGAAAATTACGAAAAAAAAACCTTCAAAATTTAATAGTGTTAACGTGTCAATTTAATATGTAATAAAAAATGTGTCAATTTAATATATGATTGTACCTAAAATATTGTTTCAATATGTATTGTGAATAATCTTGTTTTTTTTTTCGTATTTCAATATATTTAATTCAATTATATTAATTCAGATTTTATTTTAAAAAATATTTTTTACGTATAAAATTGTTCTAGTATTTTAAAAATATGTGTATATTTTGAGACAATTTTTTAGATATTACTAATATTTAATGACGATCGAAGGAAGGATTTTAACTTTGATAAATTATCCGTAATAAAATTTTAATACTTTTAATAAATATTAATCAATTATAGATATGATTTGAGAAAAATAAAATTTTAATATTTTTAATAAATCTTAATCAATTATAGATATGATTTGAGAAATAATTAGGACATATATCAAATATTTTAATTAGTTTAATGATAATGATTGATTAATAATATAGGATTTTTTACATTGACACTATATATGAATTAAATTCATATTAAAACTAATTGATTTGATGAAGTCTAATGCAAATCTCAATTGTTGAAGGTATTAAGCATTTCAAAATCTAAGTTTTTATTATAAAGAACAATTTAGGTGAAAATCAATTTAATGTTTTTACATGTAATCAATCACAAATAAACATTTCAAAATTTATGTTTTCATTATAAAGAATAATTTAGGTGACAATCAATTTAATTTCTTTTTACATTTAATCAATCACAAATATCATTTGTACTACTATATGTTAAATACACAATATCATTTTTTTTTTTACATTTAACAATCACAAAATATCAATTTTGTCTAAAGATTGAACGATTAGTATTTATTGCTAGGGTACAAAATCATTATATTATTTAAATCGTCACACCAATTGATCTTCATCTAAAAATCAATATTTCTTGACTGTGCAATAGGTTGCTTCTCTATAATACTGAATCTGAATCTTTTATTATAATTTTTTGACTTTATGTTGTTGTGTGGATTTTTGGTTTTTTAAATTTTTTTTTTTGTGGTTTGATTAGTAGAGATTTGCATTTCGTCAAGAAACAAAGTAGAGATTTGTGTATCCCATATATTTTGGTAACTAATAAAATAATTTGGAAGAGACATGGAAATTAGATTATAAAATATTGATATATTATTCATAATCATACCTTAATGAATTCACCAAATAAAAATCATATCTTAATGAATTGATTATAGGCAATCTCATGTAGTCTATTTAATGACTTTACTCAATTGAGAATATATACATTTATATTCATGAAATATGAAATATGCTTACCAAATTAGTTTAGAATTATCCAATATTTCTAAGTATACAATAATGACAAAATTTTGAAAATCTTAACCGGTGAAATTTGGTCTGGTGTTTATCTTAGTGATAAATGATAACCAATGAAAAAGTTAATATAATCCAAATTTGGTAATCCTCTACCTGTTTTCTGGCCCATGGTATTTTAATTTTTAATCACTAATTACTAATTAACATGCCCATTGTTATTAAATAGTGTGTTGAAGACATTGTTCTTAGAGCAAAGACCAAAGACATTTCACATTTGGTTATTATAAAAAAAAAAAAAAAGCAAATAGCATTAATAGTAAGAATTATTGAGTGAATGTGTAGTGAGAATTATCTTTTTTATCGAGATTGTGTACCATAATTGTTAATTTAAATAGTAAAATTAAACTTTTGTTTTCTCTATTTTAAAATATATATTTCTAAAACTTCAACATTTTTACAACAACCTTTTTACAATTTTATTGAAGATCGTCAGTGTTACAAAGTAGATTAAGTAAATTAGTACATGTTATCTCATGAGAATGAAATGTAATAATTATTTATTTTTAAACTTTTATGAGCAAAATATGATAAATTGTAAATTATCTAAATTAATTTATAAAAATATAGTATTATACATATCGAATTCAGAGTTTGGAGCACCTACCAAGACGTCCATGATTTTAAGTACTTCGATCTTTCACGCCTCGTGTTTGGAGGAGTATGTACATCCGAGGAAAATTGATATCTAAGATTTTGGTTTCAGATAAAAGACCTAAGCAACCAAACACTTCATCCTTACGGCTTCGTGCTAGGGGGCTTATGTACATCTGGGGTGTCTAGCCCGGATAGCCAATTAAGTCGGTTAACAAAGTTAGACCACAAAGGTACAATCAAGTCGGCCAACAGAGCTAGGTCGCAAAGGTATAACTAAGTCGGCCAAAAAAGATAGGCCATGAAAGTACAAAATTAAGTCGGCCAACACAGTTAGACCACAAAGGTACAACCAAGTCGGCCAACACAACTAGGCAACAAAGGTACATCCAAGATGGCCAACACAACTAGGTCACGAAGGTACCACCAAATTGGCCAACACAGCTAGGCCACGAAGGTACAACCAAGTCGGCCAACAGAGATAGCCCACGAAAGTACAACCAAGTTGGCTAATAGAGCTAACCCACGAAGGAACAATCAAGTCGGCCAACACAGCTAGGCCACAAAGGTATAACCAAGTCGGTTAACAGAGCTAGCTCACGAAGGTACAACCAAGTCGGAGAATAAAGTTAGTCTAGGGTACAACCAAGTCGGTCAACAGAGCTAGCCCACGAAGGTACAACCAAGTCAGCCAATAGAGCTAGCTCACGAAGGTACAACCAAATCAACCAACAGAGCTAGTCCACGAAGGTACAACCAAGTCAGCCAACATAGCTAGGCCACGAAGGTACAACCAAGTCAGCCAACAGAGCTAGCCCACAAAGGTACAACCAAGTCGGCCAACAAAGTTAGGCTACAAAAATACAACCAAGTCGGCCAACACAGCTAGCCCACAAAGTAATTGACCATCAGACATGCATTTATGAACATTTAGGAGGATGTTTGAACATGTCTCCTATATGATAATTGTCACATCAATAACCATGAATATGATTTTATGGCATTGATCACCCTTGTCTCACAAGGAAGACTATAAAAGAGAGACCTCATCGAAGGAAAAGTGATCCACAACTTTACAGAAAAATACTTAAACGCTCATCCATCCATAGAAAATCTTCATTGACCCTCGTCAATGGAGCTAAGGGTGCGACCACTCCCAACCAATATCGAAGAGATTATCAAATTTGTTCATTGCATGAACAAATATAAACTATTAAAAATAAGTTATAAATTAAATAAAAAAATACAATTACGTGTTTATTAAAGAAATATTGGGTTAGAGATAGAGTTGGGTATCCAATCTAACCCACTCTGCTCTACATAAATTTACATATTAAACTGTTTGTGTTGCTCCACCTGCAATTATTAATAAATTTTACTGTTGAGTCAGGTTTATATTAGTCTATGGATAATGTTTGAACCTTGACAAATTAAATAAGGGTTAAATATATTTTTAATCCCTATAAAATTACCAAAAATGACTTTTAATCCCTATAAAAAATCGAGTTTTAGTCCCTATAAAATTACTTTGCACGCGGTTTTAGACCTCTACAGGGACTAAAACTAAGTGCAAAGGTAATTTTATAGGGAATAAAACTCGACTTTTTTTATAAGG